AACATCTCTTGTTGACATATATAAATGTCAGACAAGAATTACCAAAATTGGTCCTGAGCATCTTAAATAGGGGATATTCAACAAGTATATGCATTTACATATGGAAATGGAAAATATGACTTTCATAAAAAAGGAATTACCCAAATTAAAATTATCCTCTAAAACTATCTATAGTATGTTATTATGAGTGTTCTATGTGCTCGTTGAAAAAATACTATGCTGTGATGAGAAATAATGTTAAGAAGTATATGTGTGTGACCAGAACATCCAGATATTATATGTTTTCAACCTTAATCAAGTCAACATGCTGAACAATTTGGTAACCTTTAATATGTTAAAATCAGAGATAAATTATAATTCAGTGAACATGCTACTTCTTTGCTGGAGTTGAAGAAAAGGTTAAAAGAAATAAAAAATATTTAAAAGATAAATTAATTTAATTTCAAATGTTGAAGTCCTAAAGTACCTCTGCTCAGCCTTCATGGTTAGAGGGTATACTGAGACCATATTTTAAAAAATCTTGGCTATGATCAGATGTTGGGCTTCAACTTGCAATTGATGAAGATATGTTGAAATATTTTAGAAAATGATGTGTGAAGACTGGACTGTGTTTGAAATGATAATTTAAAGATGGTTATATTTGAGGAAAAGGGACATTTATTTAGGAAGGGATTATAATAATCCAGATTAGAGGAACTGAAGCTGAGTTCTGAATTAGTGCAGAATTAGTAAAACTGGAAAATTGGAGTCAGAGTCAAAGCTATCTGAGAAAGAGGGACATGTAAAGATAAAAGCTGTCTTTAATTCCATACAGTACAGGGTTTGAATCCTGCCTAATATTTTCCAGAGTATGAAAGAAGAGAAAGAATCTGATACGGTATGAATATCTTCCCTCCTCTGCAATCAGAAGTTGAAACCTAATCCCCAATATGATAGTATTAAAAGTTAAAGCCATTAGAAGATGATGAAGTCATGAGGGTTGTTTTTGTCATTTTTTGTGTTGCTGTGACCAAAACACCTAACAAGAACAACTGAGAGGAGAAAAATTGGGGGCGCTCAGGGTTTCAGAGGACTCAGCCCATATTCAGCCAACTCCATTGCTCTGGGGCCAAGATAAAGCAGCACATCATGGGGGAAGGGCCCAGCAGAGGAAAGCTGCTCAGCTTATGGTAGGGTCAGGTGAAAGGGCAGGAGAGGGACCACAGGGAAGATGCAACCTTTCAGGGCAAGTCCCTAGTGATCCACCTCCTCCCGGCACTTCCCCCATCCCCCCCACAGTTACCACCCAGTCAGTTCATACAAACCAGGATGGGTTGATTAGGTGACAGCTCTCATAATCTAATCATTTTACCTCTTAATATTCCTGCATTAACAGGAGCTTTTGGGGGGATAGTCCATATCCAGAGTATTACAATGGTGGAGTCCTCATGAATGGAATTAGTGCTATTATAAAAGAGGTGAGAAGAAGCTGTTTGCCCCTTCTGAAGTGTACAGACACAAAGAGGGTGCTCTCTATGAAGAATAGGTCTTCACCAGATACCTGTTAAAAGAAACTTTAGAAAAATTAAGTTAAGCAGAGTTAATTTCAGCAAAGAACAAGTCATGAATCAGGCAGCACTCTGAACCAGCAGTGGATCAGAGAGCTTCTCCAAGCAATGTGGGCAGGCACTATTTCTAGACAGAAAGTGGAAGAGCCACACAGAAACAGCTTGTTTGGTTACAGATCAGCATTTGTCTTTTTCGGGGGTATGGTGTGATGGGTCATTTGCCTCATGGGAAAATGGTCTGATCATTTGGCAGCCTGATTGGCTTATTACCTTTGGCTGCTGTGATTGACTGGGATTCAGTTATTTGTCATGAGAATATATTCCTCAATTATACTACAGTTTTCTATGTAAAAACTCAAAGTACACAGGTAGCTTTAGACCAACTTTAATTTAGTGTAGCACACTGAATCTATTGGTATCTTGACTTTCAAGTCTCTAGAACTTTGAGAAATAAATTTCTGTTTATGTTACCCTGACTAAGGTATTTTTTTTTTCTAGCAGCAAGAACAGATGGACAGCCTTTATGAAATAAATTCACAAGGTATAATCTTTTAACATGCCCATAGTACAAACAAATACTGGCATAGATATTGTCCTATATCTTGACATTCTGCAAGTTCTCTTTAACTATTTTACCATAGGGAACCACATAACTAGGGAACAGCAGAACTTGAGATTTGATTAGTCTAGCTATTAAGTCTATGGTGTTTTTTTTTTAATCATTTTGTTTTAACATGTAATTTTGAAGTTGTTTTCATTATGTAAAAATTCAGAGGCACAGACAATTTGGATTATAAATCAGAGGTTGTGTCAGGGAGGAAGACCAGGAGAGCTGATTCCCTTTTATACCATATTAAGAAGTATAGACTTTGGCTCTCAAAGACAGTGGGAGAAAACATTGAAAGTACAATGCAATCAGATTTGAATGTATACTCAATCACTCTGGTATGTTTTGCTCCTGTAAGTTTCCATAGCATCTTAATTTTCACTTTCATTCCAGAAGTTGAGAATTCTCTGACTACCATGCATTTTTTTTTCTGATAAAACTACAATTTAAAAAATTCAAATAATTTTTTTATCCATTCCTTGAACAAATATTAAGTACACATTATTGCTTCAAAAGATCTATAAAAATAACATGCTTATAAACTAGGCAAATTAAGGAATGATTTGCATTATAAAACAACACTTACATTTATAGACATGTAAAACTTCAAATTTATGTCTTTCAAAGTTATTGGAAGAAAATTGTTTTAAATAATTGTTTTAAGTAATTTGTTTTCCATTTATTAAAGGACCACTGTATAAAACAAAGCATGGATGTATTTTTGTAACTTATTCAAAAGGCCTAGATGAAAAACTCCTATTACTTAAGCCAGTCAAACAACACTTGAAAAACAAGTCTTCAGATTATCCTGATTATCACTGGAAGAATAGACTGTTAACTAACTATAAGGTCAAGATGTCCTATCTTTCAATAATGAGAAATGTTAATGCATCATTTTTTAGAATCAAAACAAAATCTCTCAAGAAGAAAATTATTTACAATATAACTGACACACTGTTTGCATTCATCTGATAAAAAGGTGCCATGCACATATACAGACATATTATAACACAATACAAAATAAACTTCCCTCATTTCCTCATTGCTTGTCTGGGATCAGACCTTTTATTTAAAGATTCGGAACGTAATTCTCCAGTTGTTAAAGAGTGCAGAAGGTAAGCCTTGCAAAACTCTACAGGGAAAAGTTCCCAGAATATATAGTTACCATAAACTGCCTTTCCAAGAAAAGGGCAAATGTACTTATAGTCAGAGATTTAAAAGAAGTAGAATTTTACACATGGATTAAAATTATTATTATTAATTTTTTGTGGAACTAGAAGGGATATTGGTACACAGCATTTTTTTTCTATAATTTGTTCAGATTTAAGACACTCATACTGCTGAAAAAGAGGAAAATGAAGATATTGAGTCATCAAAAAATGTAGTCCAGTGTGTTCTGACTGTACAGTAAGGCTGATTTTCTCAGGGGACTTAGTTATACAGAATACAGATTTAAATATGTGTCTTCCTCAGCCAGAAGCAATGGAGTGAGACCAGCCAAGAGCAAGTCATATGATGGTGGAGAGAATTGCCAATGTTTTTTTTTTTTTTCCATTTCATGTGCCTGTGGAAGGGAAAATTGGAAAAGCAGACTCATTTGGAATTTTAGCTTTTTCACAACCTGTAAATTGCATTACAATAGCTGCTATATGCTGTATTAGGACTAATTATGCAACTTCAGTTCTAATTTTTGAATTTCCTCTTAATACAGTTAATTGAAAATGTGTTGAAATACCCAACACTACTGTTATTTTCTCCAATTTAAATGGATAGTTGAACTTGGTTTTTCATTCCCAGATTGATTTTGATTAAAACCATAATATTCACAAGGAAAAAGAGTTCATAGTTAAAAGAATAGCATAAAATGCTTATATGGACAGACTCTATTTTTAAACTGGATTGTTCATTGTTCTTGGTATATTTTCCCAAGGAAGCTAGTCTCATTTGATTTTCTCCTGTGTTTGCAAAATGTTCAAAATTAACAGCCATATTCTCAGGACTTGGTCAGCTTTTAATCCCATAAACAGTTTATGGAGCTTCCACCTGATCTTTCCATTCTGCTGAATGCATAGGTGGTTCTGAAGAAAACAGACTTGGCGCATGCCCTTAAGGAACTGGTCAAAAGATAAGATTTGGAGAGTATGTTTGTGCCATGCCAATCAACCATTGTAATTGGAATAAATTGAGTATGATGCCTAACATTTACTTTGTGCTCACAATGTAACAGAAGCTTTGCATGAATGACCTCATATAAACCTTTGACAGTTTGAGTATTATAAAGCAATTCTAATTTATACCTGAGAATACAGGAGAGTTTAGGAGAGTTATGTAACAGGTTAAGGTCAATCAAAGGGACACACACCTCTATGTCTGCATCTGTTATGTCTCTCTGGATTGCTGGGGCTCTACTGCCAGAAAGATCTTAAAACATGCAGACTTGGATAATGGGGAACAAGGGCCCAGTTATAATCTTGCTTCTGAAGGTCTGCCTGGTCACATCTCCTGACAACTTGTTCCCAGAGCAAACTTACTTTGCACAAGCCAGGGCAATTAGTGGTGAAAAGGGGCTGAGAAATATTAAAATGGTAAGACTGTCCAGGCGGTTGAGTAGCTGCAGGTGTCTCGAGGGCAAGCTGGAAACCTGGGCCAAGTCTTATCCTGGACCCACAGGAAAGCAGACACCAGCGTCCACTCAAAGCTAAAGCGCTGACCTAAGGACTGCGGCAGCAAGTGAACGTCAACACCGCTGCCTCAAATGCACCGGGACCCCGGGCCCTTCCCTTCGACCCGCGCAGACTGTGCAAGTCTCCACTCTGGGCTGAGGCCCCTCCCAGCCTCACTTCTCTGATAGTCGGCAGCCGGCAATGGGAGGCGACGCGCAGGAGGCCCAGAGGACGTAATCGACGCGTGGTCGAGCCTCCAGCCCGCCCCCCGCGCGCCTTCCCTTCTTCTTTCCCGTGACGCCGCGGCAGCCCCGGCAACCAGCGTTTGCACACTCTCACGCGCGCTCCAGCCTGCTAAGTCCTCCCGCAGCGGAACCCGAAGATGGCGGCTATCAAACTCCTCTCCTGCGGGCTACGGCTCTGCGCCTCCACCCGCAGCTCCGGAGGCGCCTGGTCCAAGGTAAATTGCCGGTGAAGAGGAAGGCCACGCGCGGGAAGGACGCGGACGAAATCGGTGCCGGCGATTTCTCCTCTGCCCATCCCCACCCTGCATCTGCTGCGCGGTGCCCTGCGCGAGAAGGGTTTCTGTCCTCGCGGCCTCTTGGGATTACCGCCTTTGCTTGGTTCTGCATCCGCTTCCTTGGTTGGGGGAGATGAGACCAAGCAGCGCGCGCGGAAAGGCTGACAAGGGGCGGGAGGAAGCTGGGCAGCGCCGCCGCTCCCTTCGGGGCTTGCCCGCTTCCCTCCCGGCGTGCGTCTCCAACGCGCTGCCTCTAGTCCTCTGGGCGGCTGCCACCGCGCGAGGGGGGGGGGTGCCAATTTACAGAGTGAAGGGTGAAGGCAGTAGGGGTAGGTTTACACTCCTTCTAGAGGATCTTCTCGGGGTTTAGGCACCTCTAGAGGCCCAGAACCGGGACCCGGCTAGCCTCCGCTGGCTCAAGTTCACAGCCAAGTGGGCGGATGCTGGGAGCGGCGGGGGTGGAATGCCTTTCTCCATCCCGCCTTCCCTATATGGCTGTGCCGCACCGCAGCGGTGGAAAAGGGAACCCGGACTGGAGCGCTTGCTGGGCGTCTAGCGGGCCAAGCGGGGAATCCAGTTGAGGTCTGGCTGAGACTCGCATATTATCTGCAGGCGCAGATGCCACTTCTTTGGAGATTTCTGGGATCTGGATTATGAACTTTTTTGTTTTCAAAGCTCTTTGAAAACCTCAACCCTTAACTGACAATTCTCCACCAAGTGGTTGGTATCTGGAGACAGTGTCAACAGCGGTTGATGTGTTTTTGCCCTGTGCACTGTCTGTCCCATTCTGTGAGCCCAGGGTCCTGTGGGATTCGTGTCTGGAGTACTAGGAGCCAATTACTGGACCAGAACGCCAGGTCCAGGAGGGTGACTTATACCTTGGTCACTTAAGTAAACCTCAGGAATCTTTTCCTTGAACGGGAAGACGGAAGTTTTCCTTAGTAATACATTGAATAATAGCTCAAAGCTTGATAGTACTGTATCTTGCACATGGTGTGCGATCACCCTGCATGCTCAGAACTCCCAGCTCACCTTATGGCTTATCCCTTTCCTGCATCCAATTCGAGAAAATTCAGAACTAATCTTTTGTAAGAAGGAATGATTTAGAACTGGATCACATCATTAAATCAATTACTCTTAGAAGGCATTTGGGTAATTGCAGGTAGCTTTGGATATATAAAGCATGACTTAAAAGGGAACTTGACCTTCAGTCATCTTACTGTTAGTGCTAAAGCTGATGCAAAATCCAGGACACAGGGATACCCTTGAATCAAGGTCAGTACCGTTCCCTCTTTTGGCAATCACTTGTTTGTCTATTATTTACTCACTTCCAGTTTTCCTCACCTTGAGTATAATCATTAAACCATTTCCCAAACCCAGCAAACCTTTTTTAGATGGATGAGCTACAATTTTAGTTTTGCTATATCTTACTGAAAATTTATATCAGAGTTAAAGCTTTTACCTTTCCTATGTGATTAGGTCCAACTCCTGCCTTCCAGAGTATCTCCCCACCCCCCATTCATTGCATTGAGGGCTTTTACTGCATAGTTAGCATCTAAATCCCATCTTCCATTTCTGTTAAACTCTAATACCTGTGTACTTGTTTAACTTTGGGATCTACTGTCTGCCTAATTCTCTATCTCCCTCAACATTACTACTCTGCAAAAACCAGACATTTAACACATGTTTAATGCATGGATAAGAGAACCCTGCAAGCAACTTAAATATTAACCTTGAGAGTTTTTCTGCTAAACATAACTAACAGGTTCAATGAGATAGTTAATTTTTTTTTCTTAATAACAGTGGGCAAGTGGTGGGCAAGTGCAATGTCTCTGAACTTGAGCATGCAGTAAGATTTCCTGGAGCCTTTGTAAAACAGGTTTTTGTGCCCTCCTCCAGAGTTTCAAATTTAGTAGGTTTTGGGTGGGGCCCCCTTGTTTGCATTCAACACACATTACCTTCCCTTGGCAGTGATGCCATGCTCCCCCTGGCAAGCCTGTAGGTGTGCATATCCACCCACATATTATTGCCTTTTCCTTCTAACATGGTTCTCTTTACCTCTTTCTGAGGGCCTCCCCTTCCTATTTCTGCTTAACAAACTCTGATGCTGAAGTGGTCAAGGTCATTCTTTCTGTTTCATGATTTGATAGTAATGTGTCAAGATTAGTATCACCTGGGTGTATCATGAAGATATATGTTTAAGAATAAAAAAGTTACATGATTTGTGTATTTTCAGTGAGAGATCATCAAAAAGAAGTGCATTTTTCACTAAATTCTGGAGTGCTGAAGGACAAGAAAAAGAGACATGGAATTGAGAGAGATAATGGTGGAAATGGTTGGAAAGGAAGATTATGGATTAAGAAGTCCTGATAATTAGATGAAAGTTAGGCTCAATGGTAAAGTAGGATTGGGAAGTTAGGAGTAAGAATTTGAAGAAAAGGATCAAGGGTGAAGGTGGAGAAGATGTTAAAAGAAGAAGTAGATTATGCAGAAAAAGTCTTTCACTATAAAAATTTTGATTATTTCTTCCACTGCATCATTCATTTATCATTATTTCCCTCCCTCAATTGTAATAACAGAAACTAGTGCTCACAATAGTGTTGCATTCTGCTGAAGGCAGGAGAGTGAGAAAGCAAAATGAAATGCTTTCGGTGAACATGAAAGAAGACCTGAGTGAAAAATATCATCCCCAGAATAAATAGATGTCAAAACTGTGCATTTCATTCTTTATTCTTTTGAGTAGTCTCAGCAAACTTGAAGGTTGTTTATTTTTTTTGGTAGCAGCTGGTACATGTTGTTTTTTTTTAATTTTTTTTTATTTTTAACATCATTGTATTCACATATAAAATATCCTAGAAGGGAGAGGTTAGTTTAGAAGGAGCTTAAAGCTGCTCTTTGAATTTGGTTATCTAAAAAAAAGGTAGATGTTATATCAAACAGATTCTTTCCATGTAGCCTAATTTAGAAGGTGTTGGCACTGACACAGATATTTCTTCACTCACAGGGAGTGTGGGTGGAGAATGGGAGCAAGGGAGGAAATCAGTGGAGAGAACAAACCTAAAACCCTCCTCCAAGGAGCTGCTCTAAGCAGATTTCTGTCTTGAAGAGCTTCAGTGGCACACCCAGCCCAGTCCTTCTGCTTCCTCTTTGCCCCACTGCCTGCATTCGCACTGCTGTCTTGCCCAGCCATCTCTGAATATCCAGACTCCCAGACTTGATGAAAAATAAAATGAACATGTTCCTGGGTGCAGAGGTGCACACTTGTAGTCCCAGTTACTCAGGAGGCTGAGGTGGGAGAAATCGCTTGAGATCAGAAGTTCCAGACTACTAGCCTGGGCAACAACAGCAAGACCTTTCCTCCAGATAAAGGAGAAGAGAGGAGAGGAGGGGAAAGGAGGGCAAGGGAGGAAGTTAAAGTGATCTCAAAGCTAGGACCCATTTTTTTTTTCTTTAATGCTTAACAAAGATAACATGGATTAATTTACTGTGTTATGGATCACATTAAAAATATTGTGTGTAATCTGTGATGCATGTGTGTGTGTGTAAGGCAGAGTGGCAAGGTTAAAAATTATATTAAACTACAATAAATAACAAGTTAATCTTCCTCTCTTGGTGGGGAATGGAGAAAAGGTAGCATTCCCCAAAGGAAGTTAACATCTGGGTATCTTGTGTTCTCCAGGCACAGAACTTCTGTATATATTCTTAACTTAACCTCACTCAATCCATGCGACACAATTATCATCTTTTTGTAAAATCAAGTTCTCCCTATACCCCCTCAAAAAAAGTAATTAATATTCTTTTTAAAAATTTTTCTGTAGTTGTAGATGGACACAATACCTTTATGGTATTTGTTTATTTTTATGTGGTGCTGAGGTTGAACCAGGTGCCTCATGCAAGCTAGGCACGCACTCTGCTGCTGAGCTACAGCCCCAGCCCTAATTTATATTCTTGATCATTGCCATTCTGAGAGGAGTGAAATGAAATCTCAATGTAGTTTTGATTTGCATTTTCCTAATTGCTAGAGATGGTGAACATTTTTTCATGTATTTGTTGGCCATTTGTATTTCTTCTTTTGAGAAGTGTCTGTTTAGTTCTTTTGGCCATTTATTGAGTTATTGGTTTTTTTGGCATCAAGTTTTTTGAGTATTCTGAATATTAAATATTATATTTTTGTGTATTCTGAATATTAATTCCCTTTATGAGGAGCCGGTGGCAAGGATCTTTTCCTATTCTATAGGCTCTCTCTTCATACTCTTAAATGTTTCCTTTGCTGTGAAGAAGCTTTTTACTTTGATGCCATCCCTCTTACTGATTTTTTATTTTACTTCTTATGCTTTGGGAGTATTGTTAGGGAAGTCAGTTCTTATGTCAACATGCTGGTGTGTTAGGCCTACATTTTCTTCTGTCAGGTACACAGTTTCTGCTATAATTCTTAGGTCTGTGATACACTTTGAGTTGAGTTTGTGTAGGGGTGATAGGGGTCAGATTTCATATATGCTGGTGAGAATATGCAAAAAAGGTACACTCATACATTGTTGGTGGGACTGCAGATTAGTGCAACTATTCTGGAAAGTAGTATGGAGATTCCTCAAAAAACTAGGAATGGGCTGGGTGTGATGGCACATGTCTGTAACTTGGGAGGCTGAGGCAGGAGGATTGCAAGTTCAAAGCCAGCCTCAGCAACTTGGCAAGACCCCAACAAACTTAGTGAGACCCTGTGTCAAAATAAAAAACAAAAAGGGTTAGGGATGTGGCTCAGTGGTTAAGCACCCCTGGGTTCAATCCCCAGTACAACAAACAAACAAACAGACAAGCGAGGAATGGAACTACCATATGACCCAGACACCCACTCCTTTGTATATATCCAAAAGATTTAAAATCAGCATACTATGGGAATACAGCTACATCAGTGTTTATAGCAACACAATTTATAATAGCTGATCTATGCAACCAACATAGGTGCTCTTCAGTATATGAATGGATACAGAAAATGTGAGGCGCGCGCGCACACACACACACATACACACACAATGGTGTATTACTTAACCATAAACAAGAATGAACTTACAGTATTTGCTAGTAAATGGATGGAACTGGAGACTATCATGCTAAGTGAAATAAGCTAGTCCTAAAAAGTTAAACGTTGAATGTTTTCTCTGTATGTTGAAGCTAATCCAAAGTGGGAAGTAGGGGGTGAGAAAGAAAGAAAGAAAAAAAAAAAACAAAAGGAAGAGGGAATTCCATCAAAACAGAGGAAAGATCAGTTAAGTAGACAAAGGAATTAAGGGGAGGAAGGAGGGATGGGATAAGGGAAGAACAGTGAAATGAATTTTCATTATATATATATATATATATATATATATATATATATATATATACATGAATAGACCACAGTGAGTCTCAACTTAAGTATATCCACAAGACACTAATTAAAAGAAAAACTATAAATAAGTTACAGAAGTATCAGTGGAGTGGGGAGGGGAGGGTAAGTGTGGGGGACTGAATTAGAGCCAGTTATATTCCATGCTTTTGTGATTATGTCCAAATAAATCCTAATGTTATGTATAGCAAAAAATAAATAACAAAAAGAAAGTTTTCGACAGCATTTTTCAAAGCTGATTTAAGGCATAAATCTACAAATCTAAACAATGAATCTAATGCTAGAAAAAAATTTTAAATAAGTAAATACCAAGACCTGTGAATATAGCTCAGAGCACTTGCTTAGCCTGCATAAGGCCCTGGATTTGATCCACACCACTGAAGCAATATATAAATTAAAAGCAAAATGCTTAGATATAACTAGTGAAAGTAGAGATGACCTAAGAGACAGAAAAAATTAAAATCAGTTAGAAAGAAGACTGAAAACATAAAAGAGCAACAGTTAGAATGGCAACTGATAGCTACAACCACTCAGTACAAGGAGAAAGTCTATTACATTTTCAGTGTGCTAAAGAAAATTACTGTCAACTTGAAATTTTAGTCCCAGTGAAAAATGACTTTACCAGTACAGTAGAGAAAAGAAAACAGGGGGAGGGAGAGTGGATGGAAAGGAGAAGTACTAGGGACTGAACTGGAGCAAATTATATTTCATGCTTGTATATTTATATCAAAATGAACCCTAATATTATGTCTAATTATAATGCTCTAAAAAATCAAAAATAAAAAAGTGAAGAAAAAAAGTAATTTGCTCTGGTCTATACAGTTGTGACTATGCTGGGTCTTGACACAAGATTATTTTCATCCTAGGAATGTAATCTTCTGGTTTACAATGTCTCCCAAACTAGATGGTTAGTTTTGTTTTGTTTTGGTATCAGGGATTGAACCCAGGGATTAACCACTGAGCCACATCCTTGGCCTTTTTGTTTTTTATTTTGAGACAGGGTCTCACTAAGTTGCTTAGGGCCTTTGCTAAATTGCTGAGGCTGGCTTTGAACTTGTGATCCTCCTGCTTCACCCTCCTAACTTGCTAGGATCATAGGCATGCACCACCATGTCCACATCCCCAGTCTTTTTTTTTTTTTTAATATATTTTATTTAAAGACAGGGTCCTGCCAAGTTGCTTAGGACTTTGCTAAGTTGCTAAGGCTGGCTTTGGACTTGTGATCCTCCTGCTTCAGCCTCCTGAGCCGCTGGGATTATAGGCATGTGCCATTGTGTCCGGCTTGATGGTTCGTTTTTTCAGTATAAGAGTATTATAATAAAAGTTGGTTTCTCGGTAAATAGTAAATAGATGTCAGTAAATACTCTTAGCTGAATAAATAATGAAAAAACAAATACACTTGAGTGCCTGTAGGGTCTTCATTATCTTGAGCCCTTGTCACAGTCCCTGGAGACTTGCCACTCTTACCGCTTTTAACTTTTGGTTATCCATGTAATCATACCATTTTTGTTCCATTCTCTTTTCTTTTAAGGTGCTGGGGATGGAACCCAGGGCCTCCAGCATGCTAGACAAGTGCTCCACCACTGGATACACTTCTAGCCCAACTTACATCTTTTTAAAAATAATTCTGAGGGTTTTTTTTTTTTATGTGGGAAAAGTAGGGTAAGCTGCTGGATAATTTCTGACTGTCATGAAAATACCAGTTCTCAGCCGAAAACAAAGGAACGGGATTCTTGCCAGGTCTGTGGTTATGTGTTTTTGTTTCTGTTGGTGAATCTATAAAGCCTCTCTGAGTATATGGTGGAACTGAGTTTTCTTCCATGTTAGTCTCTAAGGGACACAAGTTTCTCCCTTTATAGAAACATGGTTCACTTCCCACCCCATTTGGATGTTGACAAATTTTTTAAAAATTTTTCTTCCCCTTCCTGCTGAGGTCTGGACTATTCACTCTCAGGTAGACATAATGACAGAAGAGTTACAGATGAAAAAATAGGATACTCATAGAGATTTGTTGTGTGTAAATAATGAAGTAAAAGTAGAGTACAATCAAGTCTTTCAGTAAACATAAAAAGGAGCATAGTGTGGTAGAAGAACCCAGTGATAGGGGGCCCAAACTTTGCATCCGTTCTTGGAAGATCTTTCTAAGCTTCAGAAATTGGACCTATACAGTGAGTTGGTTGGATTAGATATCTGTGTTTTTCTTTCCTTCCTTCCTTCCTTCCTTCCTTCCTTCCTTCCTTCCTTCCTTCCTTCCTTTCTTTCTTTTCTGGGAGATATTCTCAGCTTTATTTTGCAGTCAACCTGTAGCCTGTTTATTCAGTCTATCAAATTTTTAATTTCTAAGACTAAAATTAATTTCTAAGACTGGTGTGTTTGTGTGCATTTAAAATGGAAGAAATGATTCCTTGCTGTTTGAGGACAGGGAAAAAAATAGAAAACTCTTTATGGCTCCAGCCACTTCCCTTCAGCTTCTGCCTCCACTTACATTCCTGGGTCTGGGCAGCATGCCAATTTATACACTCTCCTCACCTGACCTTGATCAAAATGGAAGTTCAAAGGGACAGAAGTCATGTGTGTGACCGCTGAGTTCTCTTTCTCGTCTGACTTTCTCTCTCAGTATAATTCTCTTTAATAGTCCTTTGTGCTAATTGCTGCTTTTCATAATGATGGTTGTTAGAGGAAGAAAAGAACTGTAGACACTTATTATGCAGTGTCCTTGACCACTTGGTCCCCCCTGTCTGGTGGGTTTTTAGGAAGTGATGTGTATGAGCACTTTCGGATGGGCTTGTTAAGGTGGCAGACATCAAGATTCAGGTATTAGTCCCTCTCCTCCCTTTCTTTTCAGGTTGCTGTATGATGAGAGTAAAGGAGGAATGATGTTGGATATGAGTGATTGGTTGCCACAGACTGTTTCCTCATATCAGTTGTCTATATCATACATGAAATACAAAGAAAAATATAGTTTATAACTGATTGTCAATGAATGCCCACTAGATGACTCATTTAGGACTTGTATTAGCCTATTTTCTGTTGCAATAGCAAAATATCCCAGACTGGTTAATTTATAAAGGAAATAAGTTTATTTTGCTCACTGTTCCAGTGGCTAGAAATCCAGGACCGGGTGACTGCCTCTGATGAGGGCCTTGTGGTGCCTCATAACTTGGAGGAGAAAGTGGAAGGGCAAGCTGGTGCATGCAGAAGAGTCAAAGCCAAAGGTGCAATCTTACTTCATATCAACTGCTCTTGTAGTAACAACTCCAGTCCTGTGAGAATGAGAGCTCACTCCTGTGAGAATTGACCCCGTCCCTGAAGAGCAGCATTAATCTTTTCATGAGGATCCAAACACCTCTTAAAATTCCCATCACCTCTCAACATTGTTACATTGGGAACCAAACAAATCTCAGCATGAATTTTGGAGGTGACAAACCATCTACAACATTTCATAGCAGGACTAAGTCATGCATTGTGTAAGGGTGACTAGCCTTCCTTGTAGCTAATACTTTGATATTTTTCTACAACATCCACAAGCTACCCCAGTAGGGTGATAAGACATTCTGTGTACTGTTCTTTACTTGTCCCTATTGTAGGCACTCTCTGGCACTAAAGATTGGATCAGAAGCTTAACTCTGTGGGTATTTTTAATTGACAAGTGAAGATATATAAATTTTGCATTCATTGTGCATAATGATGCATTATCTCATTGTATATCTAAAAGCTGAATTGCTATATATGCAAGTAAAGATGCATATCTAAAAGATTATTCACTTAAATATATTTTTTTAATATTTCAGGGAAGTGTGTGCTACTTCTCTATTAGTACTCGTCGCCATACCAAATTTTATACAGATCCAGTAGAAGCTGTAAAAGATATCCCTGATGGGGCAACGGTTCTGGTTGGTGGTGAGTAATAATACTGTTTTCCTTTTCATGGTAATTAGTCCTTATGTTTCTAATGAAGCAGGAAAATCTCAGGGTCAAAGCTGTGTAGATAAGAAATGCCAGTTCTTTTATTACTTAGTTATTATTCATTTACTATTTTTATTTATTTGTGCACATATAGTATTTTACTTTATTACCATGTCCCATCCTGAAAGTCTGGGGCTCTATTATGGTGCAAAACATTTGAATCTAGTTATTTGCTTAGTAGATGTGATAATGTGCTTTGCCTTTTTTTCTTTTTTAAAATTTTTTATTAAGAAGAATAACACACATTTCCCTAAAAGAACATTATTCTCTTCACAAATTATTTACTTTTGGTCTCATCGTAGGTTTTGGGCTCTGTGGAATTCCAGAGAATCTTATAGGAGCTTTATTAAAGACTGGAGTTAAAGGATTAACTGCAATCAGCAATAATGCAGGGTAGGTATGAATTTTTATAATAATTGGCTTGGAAGAAATGGAAGTTATTAATAATATTTTGATGGAGTTTATCAGTGAAATTAAAATTTCCTCCAAAGAGCAGTATGTCCAAACATCAAAACATAGTGTAACAGGGTCAGGAGTGGAGGTTACATTTATCCGAATATTTTTGGTACCATCCTTCATAATAAATATAATATAAATATATAGATTAAGATTTTCTGTCTTAGTCTGATGTGCTTTTATTTTTCTAAATTTAAAATATATTATTGATGTTAGAATAAATTTTTTCATAATGACTCTTGCACTTCAGAATTTAAAGATGGTCCTTTGTGTACTTTGTTATTGTATATTACTATTTATATAGCAGAGTAGACATCAATTTGAAATTGGTTTAAGTTATTTCTTTTGACTACACACCATTTATTTAGATAATATGTAAAAGAATATGTAAAGAATATGTGAATCGGCTGGGGTTGTGATTCAGCAGTAGAGTGCTCGCCTAGCACGTGCGAGGCCCCTGGGGGTTCAATCCTCAGCACCACATAAAAATAAATAAATAAAATAAAGGTACTGTGTTCATCTACAACTAAAAAATAAAAAATCTGAATCACAAAAATGTCGCTGTTCTTGATGGAAGATGGAGGACATGTAGCCAGCACTTAAGGCGGTAGGATTCCATTTCAAAATGGTTAATGATAAGCCATAATTTTAATAAAGTCATGCTCATTTAGGTACATTTAGCTGTTAGAAAAATCTATTTGTATACAGAAATAGTAAAGCATCCCTTTTCAATTATGAAGGAAAGACTTTAAAGATATTTAAAATATTAAAAATGAGCCAAATTGACAATTTAGCCTATTATTATAACTGCACTCAAAAACAAACAATACAGATTACTTAGGGAATAAAACGGATGCTGTATTTGTTCTCATGGTTCCTTTTCTGAGTTTGTTCATGCTGTTTTGTCAGAGAGCCTCTCTTTCCTCTGCCCTGCCTGTGCACTTCCTCCTTTTTCAGGATTCACTCAAGTTACACATCTTTGAGGGAGCCTTACCCCGTTACAGAAAGCCTCCAGTCTTCACTGATGTTGCCTATTCTGAATTCTCTTAGAGGCTTGGCCCTTTCTTGGTATACTAAATTGTACCTATTTGATATATGTTATGTCCTGATCCTGCTACTTGCAGTAGTTTTGTATTCCGTGCTTTGCTTAGCCTGTGAATCTGAGTCATGGCATATTTGAGGTGGACAGAATTGTAGAGATTATTTGTTCAGTTCCCTCATGTATCATAGGAAACCCCTTTGTAAATTGAGAAGTAACTTGTTCATGATTACTTTTTTTTTTCTTAGAAAACTCCCATGCTCTTTGATGTGACTTATATTTGTTATAAATACTTTTCTCTCTTTTTTTTTTTTGTCCTGTAGTGGTAGGGATTGAACCCAAGGCCTCATATATGCTAGGCAAGTGCTATAGCCCTGAACTACATTCCCATCCCATAAATACTTTTGTTTATCCATACTTGGTTGGGTTTTCCAGATAGCTCCAAGCTTACAAAGGGTACTATAGGTCAATAAACAGGCCTGCATTGCTTAATAGGGATGTCCTGAGAAATATGTCATTCATTGTGAGGACATCATAGAATATACCTACACAAACTTAAGATGCCTGTGATGTCACTAAGTGATGTACCCTTATAGAACCATCATGGTATATGCTCTCTGTTAGTGTGTAACTATAAATTTTGGATGCAAACTAGATGTTGAACACAAAGATGATACTTTGCAAATCCTTATTGACAGTTGATTCTCTTAATTAGGAGGGGTTAAATCCTAGAGGTCTATAACAATAAGACCTTGCTTTGACCCTCAGTTAGATAACTGAAGCAAACTAAGTCATGCTTCACTGGAGAATCATTGACATGGTTTGACTTGTTGGGAAAATAGAAAGAACTTGGAATTAGAAGTAGTAATTTTCTCATTTGTAAGGAGCTCACTTATGGAAGGACCTACCTGAAGTGGAAGTCTTTCTAAATCTCAGGCTTCCTGATTTTTTGTTTTTAGTAAACAGTGAGACTTGACCTAAGATGTCATTTACCTTGGTTTGAAGTATTAACTGTTAGCCTTGATGAGATAAATCCTTCTTTAGGATCATTAGTTGAACTAATACTTTGATATGGGTTAATTAAAAAGGTAGGAATAATTGACAATGTGATTTTCATTGATTTTTGGAGAATTTTCAGTTATAAGCCAGTGGGAATCAAAAGTTCACAATAAACTACATGTCAACTAGTTAAGTCACAGAGCCAGTGGAAGAATGGGTGTGTTTTATTAGATGTGCTCATTTCTCATCGCAGTATTTTTTCAGTCTACAGTTCAGGAAGGGTGTGGTGTAGATGACCCCATTGGCAGCCCCTCTTACTTATGGAAGGCTAATCAGTACTATCTGACAATATTATGTTCTTGTACTTGTGATTACTTCTATAGAGTTTTATACTAGTCAGTTCTATACTATAGGGATTTTTTTGAGGGCCCAGTTAGCTGTCTTTCACTCTAAATAAACTTTTTGGTTCTGTACCAATGACTCTGAACCTAAAGATAGAGGTGTGTGGCCCCTTTGCTGTTTCTCTTCTTCCCTTTTTGTTGATACAGCTGCAGCTGTGAAGGACTTAATAGGCACCTTGGATGATTATGAGCATTCTCCAGGACTTTTTTTTTTTTTCTGGGAAGGATTAACTGCTTCCTGGAATGTGTACTTGAACTTCTGTGCTTGGCTCCCTTGTCCCATAAAACCGTGACATAAACTAACCTTATATTCAAATACAGCTTTTTCTTTTAATACTTCTGATCTTATCAGAGTAAGCATAAATTGTATAATTGACATTGAAATATGTCTACAGTGAAAAGTAAACAAGAGAAAAACAGTTTGGTAATGGCCGCACCTTTATTTTTATTGGAGTTTTATTTTGACAAGGGTTGCCAATTAATGAAATTTCAGAAAATGAAATTCAGTAAATTAAATTTCAGATTCAGAAAAGGAGTATATTTGCAGCACATTAATTAATTCCATGCCCTATCTTTTTGCTTTACATTAGTATATCTCTTTAAGGAATTATTGACTTCTTCTTTTAACCACTGAAATGTGTGAAACCCCAGTTTATTGTGCTGCAGGGAAAACAGATCTTTCTCTTTAGGTATTCTAGAAAAATGCTGGCTACTGAGGGCAGATAGCATAATCTAACATCGGCATTATGTTTAGTATCAAAGAGCTGTGAGATGCTCTTATATACAGATTTCTCTACTAGAAACCATATAGTCCTCATTTCCAAAAGGTCACATATGTTTTCTCTTTTTATAGTGTGAGCTCTTAAAGGAAAGGGACTTGCCTTACTCATTTTTTATCATGAGAGTCTGATGTATTTGCTGGATTTGTAAATTGGGATGCATGTGACAAGGTATTCAGTTTCATTGTAAGTTATCTAACAGCACTTTTTAAGGTATGAAAACTGACTTTTTATCTGGTCCAGTGGTAGCCTGGGCTAAGCATCTTAGGCACTGCTTGATTGCTGTGCTAGGATGTGAGTCTAAAAACAAAGCAAAGGCCAAATACACAATGTTCCTCAGAGCCAAGATCAACAAATACAGAGAGGTCATCTTTAAATAGAGCCAATTCAAATATGTAATGTGGTAAAAAGCCAAACAGAAGTAAAAAGAGTGGTTAGAAAAATTCCCAGGTCAGTGAATGACCAACTATATTCTGGTTTCTAGAATGAAACTGTAGACTTTGGAGGAGGTTTCAGAAATTTAAAACTATAGAATGCAAATGGGCCAGATGTGTCTTCATGGGTTATTTTATGGTTATGACTTTATTAGTCAGCTCCAGATAAGATTATCAGTACTCTCAATCTTGGGCAATTGAGGAGTTTACCAAAGAGAACTTTTTTTTCTTTTCTTTCTTTTTTTTAATTTTTTTTTTTTTAGTTATAGATGGACATACTACCTTTAATTAGTTATTTATTTTTATGTGGTGCTGAGGATCAAACCCAATGCCTCATGTATACTAGGTGAGCGCTCTACCACTGAGCCATAACCCCAGCTCTTTTTCTTTTCTTTTTATTAGAACAGTATAATTGTACATCATATTTGGGTTCATTTTGACAAAATCATACATGCAAGGAATTAGATTTTAATCCTCTTTCATCTCCCCTATTCCTCCCTCCTCCCTCCCTGCTAAGTGTACTTCATTTTTATTGTATCAGATTGCAGTGTGATGAGTAAGGGGATTTACTTAAAAGATAATCAATAACTTTTTTGACTGAATTAAAAAGCTATTCAATTTATTAAAATCAGACATATTCTCCTTGGAAAATTATTATATCTCTGTGTCTCTTTATTTTTCTGTAGTTATCTTTCTGGCTGTATCTGTCTATCATCAATTATATGTGTGTGTGTGTGTGTGTGTACATATAGATAGATGCTCTTAAAAAGTTTTTCTTTTGTTACGTTATTTCCTAAGACAAAATGGGTGAGAGAATACTAAAGTTGTTAATTTTTTTTTTTTTTTTTGCTGTTCAAGGTGTTCACATTATACCAAAAGTCATGCATGATTTAAGAATTTAAATTCCACCAATAAATTTTTTCTTATAAATAGGAAAAACAGAAACAAACAAACTCTTGGGTTTAGTAAAAAAGAAGTGGTGTTACCACTAGCCCTGATATAGAAGCAGTGAAGGGGGGAAGGAACCTCTGTCAGTATTTGTAAGAAAGCTTTATGTAGCAAGCTGTCCAGCTTGCTGTAATGTGTGAGGAAGAGGTAAATCCTGCATTTGTTCTTTCACCACCCACTTCAGCCATCCTGGTGGTGCCTCCCATTGGCTGAGCCCAGTTAGAAGTCAGTGACAAGGGAGGCTCATGAAGTTTGCAGGTCTGTCCCAGCTCAGAGCATTCTGAAGCTGGAAAATGGATCCAGACAGCAAACAGAAAATGACTGTGACTTTTGGTTT